CAGAAAAACTCCGCAAAACGAGGATGACAATTTGCTCAAGGTCGATTGGTTCATGCTCGAAGCTGTCGCTGGGATACCTGTATTGAATCATTTCGAAGTAACTTTGTTGCCATTAAAAGTTCAGCTGGAAAGGGAGCTTGGAAAGAAGCTGTTCGAATACATTTTCCCCGGGATGGGCTCAAATGCGTTTGAAAACGGGGCGTTCTCACCGTTCATGATAAAGCACATGCGCCCGCAAGAGGATGGGTCGGATAGCGAAGAAGATCATACCGAACCCGCGACTCCCGCCAGTAGCACTGGAAGCGGCTCTGCGGATGACGCCCAGTCATTTATTTTAGGCCCTGGTGCCATGGAGAACCGTTTGAAACCCACTCTCACGTTCTCAGATCATCGCCGATCGGTTTCGCCTTCGCAACGAACCAAGGGCCTTGCGATGACGCCCCTCCACAAGGACAATCCACGCAGGCATCTAGCTGCGGGCGACAGACCACGATCGGCATCTCGCCCCTCGACAAGTCGTATACCAAGGAAGGCATCTGCCGATAATCTCCGCCCCCTGAGTAGGAATGCCACTGACAGATCGTTAGTGTATGTAAACGGGACTGAAGAGAGGGGCAAGAAATTCGGGTTGGCGAGGTCCTCAACCAAATCTTCCACTACAAATGGCGATAAGACCTCCGATGACCTATCCCAGATGATGTCCCGTGCTTCTAACTTCATGACTTTGGCTCATGTTAAAATCAACGATGTTGTTCTCTGTTTGAGTTACAAAGGGAAAGGGGAACGCAATATCGAGGATGTGCATAACTTCGTCTTTAGGCTTCCCGTGCTTGAATATCGGAATAAGACCTGGTCAAATCTTGACCTTGCTCTACGACTTAAAAAAGATGTTATCAAAGCACTCATCTCTCACACTCCCGCAATCCTTGGCAATAAACTATCACATCACCGCCCAAACAAACAGCAACAAATACGTCTGCGTGAACTCGCTTCCTCGACCCAGGTCCTCAGCGTATCTGACAGCTTCGCAAACACACATACCGCACCTTCTTCAGATGGAGGAGGCAGTTTCATCAGTCACAGCTCCGCCAGCGAAAGATCAGAATCCCCCCCTCGTCGTTCCTTCACCTCAACTGCCTCACCCCTTGGCCGCTCAAATTCAGTGACATCTAGTGCAGCGCGATCTTTAACGATGTCTCACATCATATCTGACTCGCGGTCCGCCAGGAGTGAAAACATCGATCCCCGCGATGATGTATGTGATCCCGCCAATCCCTTGAATAGTTGACCTTGCTAATCAAATTGCTGTAATCGGTATTTAGGGTTCCCACCTCTTTTTAGAATCGGTCCCGAGACCCCGTACGAGTGATAATCGATCTCTACGCCAACTCAATGGGGGTGGGGATGATGATGATTCTCTAGCCGAAGGGTGAGCTCCACCTCTCCGTGCGAATTTGCATTTCCAAGTTTTACCACGTTTTCACGTTTTTGGCCGGTGTTTCTTAGCATATTGGAGAGTGCTCAAAGAAACTGACATGTTGCGTCTGTGTCTTTCTCTAGACGACGGAAAAATTCTCTGGCCCGTATAGGACAGAAGCTGATGGGCTCTCGAGAACCCCGTGGCCCTTCCCTTGAAAGAAAATAAAACTGGCACCATAAATCTTGGCCAATGGACTTTCTGGGCCCTACCCGTGTGGGGCACCGCACCTTAAACCAAACACTCAGATACTTCCTAGTTTACATCCCTACTCTATGGCTTTCCTCAAAACGCTAAGCCCGACACCTACTTTTCAACAATAACCATCTCATTCATAGATAATCACCCTCTTTCTTATCTTATTTCTTGTTTTCTTGACATCAGTTGCATTGCGGGTGGGACCCCAACATTGGCAGGAAGAGATATGTTTTAAAACACAGCATATAAATGGCGTTTCTCAAATCTCCTTGTTGTATGGACGGCTTGACATACGAACTCTTTTATTACCACTACCCTTCTCGCGTTTATTGGCCCTACTTGACCATTGTGTGTTGTTTGGGTGGATATCTAAGCTCTTGTTTATCTTCTTTACTTTCTTTACTTTTTTTTAATTTTCTTTTTCATCTATTCTTTCCTAGGTTCTCAGATACATGCATGCATCTTAACTGGGGTATACTTTTGCTTCTTGTTTTGTCTAAGTTTATCCCTTATCTATCTGACAGCGTATCATTCCTATTTCAACATTTATACCAGTTTTCATTCCTGGACAAAGGGACTCATTTAGGCGCACAGTTCGCAGCCCGCTTTATAAATCTTCCCTTTCCAACGCTACGGAAGAAGCGAATTATGGGGAAGTTTCCGCCCTGCAACGACATATTTATTTTAGAAAAAAATGAAAAAAAATGAAAAAAAATGAAAAAAATGAAAAATGAAAAATGAAAAGAAAAGAAAAAAAGACGAGAACTCGTTTTCCAACGAACGCTTATCCTTCCGTGTTCTATGGACAATATTTCCTCTACCTTTCTTTTCTTCCTTTTCGCCATATTCCCATCTCGTTTCCTAAGAAATTATTTAGCATATCGCACGCATATATTCAGGTGTCGGTCAGTCAGTCAGTTGATTTTGTGTATGGACTTGGGACTCTGTCTTCTCTCTTCTTTTTTCTCCTTTCCTTTCTTGTCTGTGTTACTGTTTCTTTCTTCTTTCTTCCCCCTTTCTCTACTTAGCCAAATTTATGCATAACCATCTTGCATTCATGGAATTTCCCTTTTGAGAACACGAGTTGCTTCCAACACCTGTGATAGTGTCCAAAGCGAGAGCTAGGTTTTTGCCGAACAAATAAAATTTTGTTGTAGTGCTCGAACTGTTCTATTTACATTTCGATTGGTATCCTGATTGAAAGAGCATACATAGGCTGATTAGTAGCTTGCTCTACAAGTGTGATCTGGGCAATTGGGTTATGAGTCGCATATAGATACGTTCGAAGAGTTCCTACGGGCAAGGGTGAGCGGAATCGGATTTGCGAGCTTGAAAGCCGTCCTGTGTAAAAAGAAAATCGCTTCTTCGGGTGTTTCATTTATTTAATTTTACAAGCATAAGTGACTAATTACAAAGAATAACTAAGAGAACTATTATGGTGCCAAGAGGGAATGGTGAGAGTGAAGGGTATGTCTGTGGCAGTTACAGCAAGGGTGACATCCTATTTTTTCATAAATACATCTCCATTTTCGCAAAAAGAGAAAGAAAGAAAGAAAGAAAGAGGGAGGAAAAGTACTATACATTCTATCTATAAGGTATGGTAGTTAAGATACCGAAAGCTTGTATAATCAAACTTCTTCGCTTGTGGTTAACGACGACGTGCGGTCTGCCTCCCCACCAGTGTTCTGCGAATCTGGATTTTGAAAGGGGTGCATGGAAAACAAACGCCCAGATGTGGAGAGGAGACGGGTTCTCGGTTTCGGGCCCAGAATGTTGTCAGTATAAGGCTCCGTATCTAAGGTGATATTTTCTGCCCAGGCTGCCTTTTCTTTCCGTAGATCTGCCTGCACCCACGGAATGGTAATCAGGGTCCATATCCCAGCCCAAAGGATTGGGAGGCTCCATCCTATCTGAATGTGTGAAGAAGAAAATATGTTAGAAATTTCGATATGAAGCTGAAGTAGATGTCATTTGGTATTAAACTCACCACATAGGCAACATCTCTTGGAGTTGTAAATATTAATATAGTTGACACCGTGGCAAAGACAATTGATCCACCTGCCCAGAAACAATTCATCTCGAAAAGCATCTGTCTAAAATATGGGCTTGCTAGGTATCTGTTCCGAAGCGCTCGTCGATATTTCTGACCACCTGCACCATCCACCGCAACGATATCTTCTATTAGAACATATAGCGCGGTAGGCATTACGGAACCTTTGGGTGTGGACGATATTCGGAATGGCGCTTGGTATCCTTTAGCACGGAGGATGTCAAGAGTTAAATGTACGATTCCGAAGTAATACATAACTGTAGGTAAGGGCATTGCGAGGAGGCGGACTAAAGAAGTTGATCATGTTAAAATGGAGGTTGTTAAATTGGGCATGTAGGATAATGTAAAAGCACTGCTTACTGAATGGTTCCTCTTGTACGGTTCCTCTAATATCGAGTTAGCTAACTGCCAAAGGGTCATGCATACGAGAAAAGAAATGACATACACAATTAGTTCAACGGCGAGGATAAGCCACACTATGGTGAAGTTTATCTGGAAAAAATCTAACTGCAGACATTTCATGTTAGCCTCATGAGGTGCAAAAGACCACTTTCATACAACTTACCCATGATCGCCGGGCATTGAGTGGCCTTACGACAGACCCTTTCCTATACAGTGTATAAAATCGGTAGAAATATTCGGCGACAGCAACTCCACCCAATAGAGCCGTGCTTATAGTGAAAACTAACGGTGAAATGGAAGCATTGTTAGCCAGGCTGTTCAAAATACTCGGGGCCTCAGAAATTCCTACCTATATTGTGAGATAGGTCGGTAAGATACCATAACGTGAAATAAAGTATTAACGGCTGAGCCAGCGTGTCAATGACAAACATAATCCAGAAAAGTGTGATTGACCATTTGCGATCCCTCAAGGAGTAGGGAAGTTCCGGCGGGCCTGGAGCTGGCGGAATTGTAGCTTTGTCCATTTATGGAAAGTGTCATATACAGCATTCATATCGTGATAAGTTAATAAAAAATCTGAAAATAGGCAAATGGCTCGAAGAAAAATATGGATATGGTGTTAAGTTAAAGTTCAGGGCCTTCGAAATTGAAGTGTGAGGGAGCGAGCGGATACCAAGGCATGATCGAAACTATATATCCCGCGTATCCAAGATATTCTATCTATCTATAGCATCCGACATATTCATCAGTAAGCACATGCGTAGGAAAAAAAAAAATGACATCATTGCCACTCAAGGGCGTTGACATCATCGGCATTGTCGTGATTGGCCAATTTTCTGAACTCAACGTTCCCGGCGAGGGAGCAATTGGGCTCCGATATGTACGGAGCGCGGTGCAATAATAATGAACAAAAATGCAATCTAGGTGATTCAAGGCCTAGCGCTTTCAATTTCTGTGTGCGAACCTTGCGCATTGCCCTCCTAGACTCGTAGTCTCGAGTGACAGCATCCAGGACATCGTGAAGCGAAATAAAATTGAGCCCAGAGGACAGCCTCTTTGCGTTGCAAGAGTGCCTCATAGTATTTTCTCATGACCTCTCTAGCTTTGTAGATAACCGCTGACGAATGATCAGCTTGGTATAGCCTGAAAGGAAGTCCTCCGGTTTCAGACGAAGGGATTGGATTAGCCTGGCCTTGTTGGTTTTATGTTCCATAGAATAAATATTATCACGGCATGCGAAAGCCAACAACATCCGGATCGCGCAAATTGATGATCCCCAGTGTCAGGCCCGGCTAAACCTTCCATTCGACAGTGAGATCATGTGAGTGTGCATGTGTTTGAATCCCTGCTAATTAGGAATTCAAAGCATCTACTGCGTATATAGTTATATATGTGACCAATATCAAAATCACGTCCGCAGTCCACAAATCACGTGACTATCAAAACCTTGTTACGTAAATTTTGAGTTTCGCCACAAAGCACAGACCACCTACAGATTTGCGGAAAATATCAAACCCAACAAGCCAACATCACTCCAACGACGCAAGTTCGAATCCCGTCGCGGCGAAAAAGCAGGATGGCAGAAAAATATTTCTGATATTGAATTTCCCCGTTAAAAGGGGGATAATGCAAAGATGGCTCGGAGTTTGAGAGACCTTATCGAATTTTTGCTCGCGGAGATTTCGCTCTGTGGCGAACGAGGTGTGTTTTCCCCTTGCGCCAGTTCTTGCCCCTTTTTCATCCCTTACACACCAGTGGTCAAGATAAAGAAATGGTGATGCATAATGCATTTGATATGTTAGTCAATATCTTTGCAATTTATAAGTTTGTACTTTAACAGAACTCTCTTACTTTTGCAAATATGTTTCATAAGGGCCCGATGTTGATTTCCGGGAATTAGCACTTCTGGCTTTCCAAGTGCAGATGTACTAACCGATATATACAGGCGCTTCTCCTACGGATGTCCTTGCTTTTATTGATGACTTCTATGCCCAATCTGCAACCTCGAGTAATCGCCCTGCTCAACTTGCTGGAGCTGTTGGCCGCACGCCAAATGTGGACCGTAAGTTCAAACAAAAAGCATGGGTATGGCTGACCAGGCACCCAGAGGTTTCTGTTGGCCAGAACAGAGAAGGAAATAACCTTACCCTGGATGAGGTGAAAGGTCGGTGTGCCAAAAGCACTGCGGGGGAGCCATTTCCCAATTCACAAAATACTCAAACATCCGGAAATGGTGGCTCTTCTGCTGCTGAAACTCAGATACAGTCAGATTCCGACGACACACTTCGCGTGTTCGTTTCGGAGGAACGAATGTGGCTCGCGATCGCTGGGCACGAGATCGATCATTCAAGAATTCCTCCTCTGGAGTTCGCTCTTTTATCTATAATTGCTTCCCGGAAATGGCAAGGGATTATGCAGCTGGAATTACCTAAACTGAGCGGGCAAGATAAGCGCTCCGTCCCAAAGCGAACAGATTCTTTAAGCCAGAAGGGATATATCGAAAAAAAAGCTATCCAGTTTAAGTCGTCTCGTACAAGTTTATGCACACTCCGCCAATTTCTTCACTCGAAACCCTCAGATAAGCCTGGTGGGATGTCTGAGGAGAATACGAGTCCTGCTCCGGATGAGCTTTGCAATGTGATTGAGTTCCCTGTCCTCCTCGAAAAGCTATTTCATTTCCTGAAAGAATTCAAAGTCATTACACGGAGTGACTTGAAGGTAAAGCTTGGAATGGAGGATCACTGGCGCAGAAGGATTTTAGGAAGGGCCATTCGCAAGTTAGAAAGAATAGGTTGTGTTCGTCGTGTTAGGGCAGTGTCTCAATACTCCGATAAGATGAAGACTCGACATCAGTCGGTAATGCTTATCCGGGAACTTACCGATAATGACCTTCGGATTTTCCTCGAAGACAGCCGCACCCTGATGACATACTTGGAGCAGGAGGATCTGGATGCTGCTGAAATGGACCAAGACCAAGGCCAACAAGATACGATTGATGAAATACCAGAGGTTAAGAGAGACGTCAGTACACCTGAAGTGGAATATTTGGAGCAGATGGGACGGGTGGTACCTAGATGGACTCCAGACCAAATTTTGCCAAATTTGATATTTGACATTGTGCACAGAAGTGGGCAAGAAGGGAGTACTAACTACGTAAGTGAGGTGAAAAACCTTGTAAGCAATATTTGTCTTGAAACTGATTTGAATTATTCAAGGATATCAACATTGCTTGTATGGGACCATTTTACAGACGACCAATCGAGTATACAGTGAGTCGACTTGTCGAGACTTGGCAGGTTTCTCAGCCGCTTCATCTTCGACATCTCGCCCTGGTTCGAGATGTAGGGCTTCGTGGCACGATTTCGATGTATATCCATTATTCATTGCGAAATTTTAGTTCACTCGTGGACGAGGGCCAAGTGTCGTGGGAAGCAGTGAAACTTTCACCGGAGGCAAAACCCAGTGTCAAAGTTCCTCCTGTTGGTGCTACATCCCAAGTAGATGAGCACGGTTTCCTTGTGGATAAGATACCATCGAACCTCCTGAATAATGGTGACGCAACACTTAGAGGCTGTCTTGAGGTTGCGAAACCTTCGGATTATACTCCTAAGATATTCGACCCTGTTGTTAGACAACGTAATGATGGGAGTTGTGGTACGTGATGGCCCCAATATATGAAGTGATCTTATACTGATTCTTTCAAAAGCTGTGATTTTCCGAGGCAGGGTGTTGGGTGGAGAGCCCGAAAGATCTTCTGTTCATCTCGGGTTAGCCGGTTCATCAGCCGCCGAAGCGGAGACGGCACCAAGTACTATTTCTCGAGGACGGAAGCGTAGGGCTGTAGAAGCAGACCTTGACCGGCCAGGAGATGTCGTGGAGGACGTTATCGACAAAGGGAAAGTTGGGGGATCGTCGAAACGCCAGCGAAAAGTGAAGGAATTTGTTGATCCTTTTGCCGGTATGACTGAGAAAGAGAAGTTAGAAGCCCAGGGATTCGATGAGACTTGGACCGAATATAGCGTTCTTCTACTTGAACGGCCCGGAGCTGGTATCTTTCTAACTCCACCAGGCAAACGACGACCCATTGGGAAAGCTCGGGGTCGCCCGGGGCGAAGTCGTATTGCTGTCGTCAAATCAGAGAAACTGAAGGACCTTGATTGGTTTGTTAGCCAAAAAGATACTGAAGCTACCCCAGATGAACCCACGGAGGATTTGGAGACTAGTTTTGTAGCTGTCAATAACGAGGAAGCCGTTGCGGATCGATCTGTATCATTACCTCACCAAGAAACGGAAACCTCTCAACCCCCTGCGGCCTCCTCACCACGGCTGGTTGATCCATCTCAAAGAGGAGAGGATACCGATTTTCAGGAGGTACCTCCTCTGGTTGTTGACACCGTGACTAGTGACCAAATCGACAATCCTCTGGTTTCTAATAAGAGGAAATATACCGACATGGATGATGGTGAAGAAACATCCATGGCACCTCAAGCCGCCGGGCTTCCGCATAAAAAAAGGGGAAGGCAGCTACGAAAGGGCCATCAAGCCCCGATTCCAGGGGGTGACAAGGCTTCTGGTCGGGACGTTAGAACTAGTCCGGCCGAACCAAGTGGGCGGGATTCCACTATTCCCCAAGCTGGGGACGAGCCGATGCAAACTTCACAAACTACAGCGGAGGATGGGACCCCCGCCGCAACTAGGCGTGAGAGACAACGAAAAGTTGACGACATCATTGTGAGCTCTGAGCAACCAGAGTCGCCTCAGGTAGTTGAAGATATGCCTAGTGAGAGTAATGGTGGACCCTCCCCTGAAGATTTACGATCACCCCCAACCCAGCCCTCTGCTACTACTCCTTCCCAGGATGTATGCGAATCAAACGATACACATAATGATATCCCCGAGCCCAGAGTGGAAAATAAGGATGCCAAAAGTAGCAAAACCCAAACCCAAACCCAAACCCCAACCCCAGAAACAGCCTCTCGCGCTTCTAAGCCCGTATCAGTTACTACTAGTGCCAAAACCAAGACCAAGAAAATAGATACTCAAGGGGGATCCATTGCGTTTCTTCGGAGGAAGATTGTCATGGATGTGGTCGAGAGCTCGGGCGGAGTGTACCCATATGGCACTGAGCTGTGGTACCCTTTCACTACCGCTTGGTTGAAGACTAAACAAACCGAAAGGCCAGACTTTCGCACACTTCGAAATTCAGTGAAATATATGATCGAGAGCGGGAAACTCCGCCAACTAACTTTCAGTGGGAGGAACAGCAAAGGGCTAGTGGTTACAAAGTCCATTATTGCAAAACCAGAAATTCATGCAACGGATCCAGCAGTCATAGATTTACAGAGGGCAATATTATCAGCCGACCCCCAGCAATACTTCCCCCCTGGCCCAGAGATTGATCCAACAATCAGGAAGTCACAAAAAATCACACAGCTGCCTGCAAGAAAGCTCCCCGACATTGAAGAAGAGATAACCGTTACTTTGCATCAAACGCCAGCGAGAAGTCGACCCCCTGAAATGAGGCCACCCCGGGTCCACAAACCAAAACCAGGACCCATAAAACGGCTTCGAAGTACTAAGCGCCGATCACATCCATATTCCGTTCTAAACTGGTTAACGTCACCAAACTCGGGCCTTGCAACTGGAACACGGACATCTGACGCTTCCAGGAGGCATCCCCGGTCAACCGCAAGGCTGCCACCAGATGCAATTATTTTCCATACGTTCCAATCATTCCATGCTCCAACCGGCACATTTGGAACCACATTCGCCCATACGCAATGGCGTAGCTTAACAACAACGGGACCCCGATCGGGCCAGACAATAATGAGCTTACCCGGAGACCTTGGAGATATTCTTTCCATGACGAGGAAACGTCAGCTTGATACGTCGAATCTCCCCGATCCTGTTTCTACCCGGGTATTTTCCGAAATTGATGCCGTAGGCAGATGGGAATCTAGGCACCCTGAACTATTCGACTTGCAGCGAGCTGGATGGAGATACATTAACCATGGGATACCGGGACCATTCGAGAGTGCTCCTCTCGACGGCTCGATTCGCTTTGAGGCGAATGAATCCCGACGGGTCTCAAAGGGACGACAAGCACCACTTGCCCAGACTCCACTTCGGACCCTGACATCATCATCTGCCGGGGTAACTCCATCAGATCGCCCCTCCGCTCGTCAAATCGCACCTCGTGGTCAGAGGCGGCCCGAACTACCCGTCAACAGACGTCTCGAACAATTCCAGGAGCCCAAAGCAGAGAAACGAACACCCAAAGCAACGGCTCCGACTGTTCGAAGAAGTAGACTCATCAAAGTTCTATCTAGTGATATTGTACAAAAGCTTACCGTTGCGATCGTTGTTGTTCGAACCTTAGCTGGTGGACTCGAGGGTAAAATGGTTGACTGGCAGCTTGTTACATTAGCTTTCCCAGATCACGACCCTAAATTAATCAGAGATCGCGGAAAGGCCATCCTTTCGCGAAATCGACTGCAAATGTCCAAAATGCAAAGCGATTTTCAAGAGCGGTTTGCAGAAGCGTACGAAAAGGACCAGGTACCCCGGATCGATTATGGTGACCTTCCCTCGTATGATTGGCAGTGGATCGTTGATTGGGCGAACAAGCAACTTGAAGGCCCAGGTTCAGATAACCTTCCGAGCCTACCAGCTACCCGCCAACAATTCAATAGCCTCTTTGACGTTCGCCCGGAACCCGTACAAACGCTTGACGAGCTGTTCCAACATAACGCCCCAGCGACGATTCCGCGAAAACAAGCTTTGCTAGCTGGAACAAACTTTGTAATCCCCGTCACTAAAGCAGGCACGAAATGTGAGCGGCAATGGCCAAGAATTGAGCGCCTAAACATGGCTAAAACCTGGGTACGAGCGAACGTGATCACGCCGGAGGAGTCATATAACCCAGCCGAAGCACGACGGATTCTCGAATGCCTTGGTGAGGATCTCATTGGACAAGCGATACAGTCACTTATCACTGAACGGGTTATCTCCATGGGCAACAGGGGCCGGATTACTCCAGGGCGAAATTACGACGTCACAGAATACTTCGTGCATACATTCGGGCGCAAACGTGCCATCGAAGCAACCCAGCTGAAACGCGCAGTGACTTTCAAAACCACAATCCTGGACACACAGTTACATCTGGAAGGCAGATGCGCCGTGAACTACGACGCTGAGGACGGCGATATCCTCGTGCTAATCAACCTCTTCGCCGAGGGGCGAGTGACAATCTGGCCCAAAAACCCGCCACGGGATAAATACGGGCTGACAGACGGCGGCTACCTGACGCGCCTCATGGACAAGGGCAAGCTGCGCTTCGACGTCGACGTCCTTCCCGTCCCCGATCGCTACATCTACGGGAACCCTGTAAAACTGCCCCCAACAGCCCCGAGGGGCGATATGCCCGCCGACTTCCCCTTCTCTCCATCCACAGGCTCTCTCCCCTTCTGCAAGATCCCGCTCTGGTTCGATATCCATGGCAACTTCGTTAAGATGCTTTGGGATCTGGTTGTTGCGGCAGTCGTGGGCTACCTTGCGTCTCGGCCGGGCCTCACCGCAGCTGGCATCAGCCGTATATTCCAGCCACATATTGCCGAGTGGGAGGTGGCTTTGGTTTTGGAGTGGATGGAAGAAGCTGGGGTCGTTGAGAGGCTGGGTGGGTTGTCTGGCTGGGCGGTGAAGGAGTGGTGGTGGATGGTTGTTCAGAACTGAAGGGCTTATCTTATCATGTACCAAGATTGAAGCTGTTTCTAGAGTCATGTTTGTACATACATGTACAAGTATCATATGCAGTACTATAGTTATTTTATACCTTTTGTTACCAGAAGGCTGGGCCTCTGGGGATCTCGTTGGTAAGTAATGTTAAATTGCTATGGTGAAGCGGAAACACGAACGAGAGAACATTTCTAGTAAATCTTGTAAATGAAACGATTACAATGAAAATCCTCAAATCCTGATAGTATATATATATACAGCGTAGGTCAAAAGTCAGAGATATGATCAAGTAAAGATATCAGAAAGAACATGTTCGGTCCACTTGAATTCATGATGCATTATTGAAAGTAAAATTAGTGAAAAAACGCGCCACCCTTTAAAACATATAAACTTAAAACCATAAGACAGCCATCAAGGAGAAGCATTAATAATATAAAATGTACATAAAAATAAAATAGCGCAAAGATATGCATCAATCCCAATCGCGCCACTCATCCCGGCCGCCTCCGCTAGTCCGCCCAAGTTCATCAAGCTCGCTCCGCTGGCTACCGGGCGTACTGTCGTCTTCCGAAGTCACTTCCCCGGGACGGGGGCGGGGAGACATGGGCCGCAGAGTTTTCATAGAAAGCCCCGTGCCGGGCCGCTGTGCATCCGTAGCTCTACCGCCCAAGGCTTGGTTATCAGTAGCGCGGCGCGAGACATCGCCGTATCCCCCACCACCTGGGGTATTGCCAGAGGATTGCCAGGTTTCTGATAGTGTTGAAGGCCGTTGCGGGAGAGCAATTGGATGCTGGTGGTGCTCGCGCCACCGTTGCATTCTCCTGTCCTCTATTCGTTGCTTTATTTCACGCCATTTGGTACTAGCTTCCCAATGCCAGCCGTCTCCGGTGGTGTTGCATATGGGCAGAAACCAGAGCAGAGGGTTCGTACCGAAGAGATGCCTCAGGTTCCGGCGCCATCCGAGGTCAAATGCGTGAGGGAGCTTTTCTCCGTCCTGTTCGTCTAAGTATTCGTCGTATCGTGCTCTTTCGCGAGCATGTTCGAGCTCTTCGTAGGAGTGGTAAAGGGATTGTTGTGCGGGGGATAGAGTTTGGTTTTGGGCGTACGGTTGGGCGTGCTCGGGATCGAAATGTCGTTGTGGAACGGTTGGCGAACTGCGCTCTTCACCTTCCTCTGCGCGTGTCACGCCGGGAATAGCGTTGGCATGCGCATCAAGGAGTTGGTGACCATAGGTTTGGAAAGTATGGCCAAGGGTGTGCTTCATGTGCCCGTTAACAGCGCTGGCTCGTTCTTGCCTTTGACGGTCAAACGATTTGCGGATGGGTGCGAGATATCTAGTCTTTTCTAAACATTCTATCGTTGTCATGCCTCGCGCTGCAAGGCTGATATGCCAGGCTGTGAATGCAGATAAAACAAGGCCGATTACCCCAGCTATGACGGCCAGGAGAATATTGGTGACCGGGCCGAATGAATCGATATAACGAGAGTTGTTCAATATCTCCGTCCAAACCCAAGTTGCAGAAACTGCAAAGCATACCCAGCAAAATAGACATGTATATATTAAAAATAACAGAAATGCTTTGTAGTTACGGAACCCGACGCAAGTAGCTAGCCAAGGGCAATGGTGATCCATTTTGAGAACACAGCGCTTGCATGATGAGCAGTGATGAGTGCGATCCGGTTTAACGCACAGGCACTTTTTACAGTACCTCCTACCACCCGTCGAGCTTACGGTCAGGGATGTATATTCGGGCGTTTCCGTTGTGGGAAGAGAGCTATAGTCATGTCGGTTCCCGCGACTACTCGTCCGAGGTCCCGTTAAAGGAGAGCCGGGGTCTGTGAAGACGGCTATAGTATACGATGCGTTTGAAAGGAGATAAAAGATTATTCCAAGAGCCGACGTCCAAGGCCCTAGTATTATATGTCAGAGAAATACATTCAAGATCAAAGCACAGGCATATGAAGCTTTAGTGGTTGGTTCTTCGAGATGGATGGAAAGTAATCCGCAACGTACCAATCCACCTGGACTTCGCCGGTTGCATTCCCATCCTTGCTTCCACATACACAGACCATGTCGTAAGCCCATAGACAAATGCCAACGGAAAATATGTACACAAGTTACAGCAAAGGTGTTCACATCGTCGCGCAAAATCCCGGCACTTCCGCCTCGAGGGCGAAAGTGGAGGGCTTGGGGGAGGCACGGCAGAAAACGCCTCCATCTTGTCAAAGGTTCCGCTTAAACCGAATAGAAAAATTATATGTATCTCATTGGGGGAATATAGTATTCATTGTTAAGGCGAACGTAGACGTAGGCGAGCCAGAGACAAACTGGACAGCTCGGATCGTAAGTCGTAGGCAGTAACTTAGGGAACACAGAAACCGCGGATCAAAAGTATCGAAATAGAAAATGAGCTGGAAGGAATGGACGGGATGGAATCGAAAAGAACGCGTATTTATTTAAGAATCGGGGGCTCGTAGTACGGAGTGTTTCCCCCGGTCGTCGTCGTCGTCGTCGTTTCGTATCTTGGAGTCGATGCTGCGCGCGGACATCATCAGCCTTACAAGCCGCTTATCTAAGCCTTGGCAAACACACCAGCCACAAGGGACAGTTTGTATAGTTTCCATTCTCCATTCAGTTACACAAGCAGTGTACTGACTGCTCTTGTTATTTCCCATGATTAGAAAAATAAGCATCCGTAGGGGCCTTTCAAAGACCCAACTTCAGAGCATCAATAATGGAGTTTGCGGGGAAGATATCCGTGGTGTGAATTCCAAACTAGCTCAATGGAGAGTGCCATCGAGGCGTCAAAAATGATCACGCTAAGTATAAATATCCCAAGCAAATCCGCATGAAAAGGGTCCTGGGATGTTGTTCAGCGTTCAGCATTAGCAATCAGCATGGAATTTAATTCCGCCGTCACTTATAAGGCGCAACCAAGACAGCAAATACAAAGTTTTTGAAAACCCGCGAGAACGGGACGGGGAAATGGCCAGGATAGCTCCCCGGGCCGCACCGAAGCTGGGATGTATTAGAAATCAACCACGATGGAAAGGAGAGGATGAAATTAGTGGAGACTATTAATTACAGTATTGTTGTACTAAATATCCACTGTGTTCTAACCGGCAGCTTCAAGGGGGAAAAAAGTTAAGTTGTGAGATTGGTGAAGGATACACCAAAACCCACCCATAGAGCAAAGAGCAAGATACAACATAGAAGGGAAAAAAAAATACACCGCCAACCAACGTATTGGTATGTAGCCAAAATCGAAAAAAAAAAGCACGTTCACTGAGAGATGCTTTGAAACAAGTCCCCGAATGAGTAACAAACGGGAAAAAAACCGCTAAAATGATTAATGTATATGACCCACTCAATCGTCCAAAGGGCCCTATTCCTTCTTCCACCAAGTATGATGAAAATAATTGAGGTATCCATGTCTAACCTAGGAGATAATAAAACAGATAGCAAAGAAGGTACACAGAAATCTCAAGAGGGTTCCCTCAAGAGGACCACAAAAAAAAGGGGGAGGGAGAAACAATGCAGCCATATACCATAGAAATAAAGCAAAAGATGGTATTAATCTATGTCGGGTAAAAGGGATAAAAGAAAGAAAAAAGAAAATCTTTAGCTATGTTACTGATGAAGTTTGGGGTGTGAGCGGGGACATGTCAGTCGTTAGAAAAAAAAAAAAAAAAAAAAAAAAAAGGGGGGAGGGACGATAATATGAGAAGAAAAGACAAAGTTAATTGTGTAGGTGAGTGGTCGATGGCCGAGGGTCGAGAGCGGGTGGTCGTAGAAACTGAAAATATATGGATTCCCACCACGCGGAAGAAACGAGATGCACGGGGTGATGGTTTATTTAAGCGATCTTACCAACATCGCACCAATTTCTGCCTTCAATGGGCTATATGATTGGAGAGAGAGCAGAGGGGTTAGCGGTGCGCCATAACCAATAAATCAAATTCATCAAATTCATCATCTCCAGTTTTACCTAGCACAGGGCAGGGGAAAAGAATAAAAAAAAAATAAAAAAACTTACCAAACATGACAAATACCTACACCACCCACAGGTCGACCGATATTTATAAAAATTATCCAACAACAGTATAAACGCAATCACGATCCCCACCAGCGTCCCCGCCCGCACAACCCACCACAGCCACCAGAGCGGCTTCCTCCCCTGGAAGAATTTCACAGGCTGTTTCACCATGAACCTCTTCGCTTTATCACCAGCTTCATCACCGGCTCCTAGCGCCCCGCTAGCGCTGACGGGGTCATAAGGGTCGAGGTGCGGAGTTACCGCACCGATGCGCTCGCGCAGTCTATCCGGCGACCGGAGTACGGATATGCCTAGCACCAAACCAACCAGGAAGCCGCCAATGTGCGAGAAATTGTCTAGACCGGGCAGGAGGCCGAGGACGAAGGATATGCCAATCGTAATGAGCATGACGACAAGTTCGGTCACGGGTTTCGGCCGCGTGCCCCAGGTATAGAGGAGGTCGAGAAAGGCGAGGGCGAGGATACCAAATAGGCAGCCTGAGGCGCCTGTGGATGCGATGCCGGCCGGCGCGAAGTTGGCGCCGAGGATGAAGCCGAAAATGCCGCTGGCGAAGTAAACGAGAGCGTAGCGCCACCAGCCGATCGTGCGCTCCATGTCTGCGCCGATGGTAAGTTGGGCCATCATGTTGAAGCCGATGTGGATCAGACCGGAGTGCAGGAAGATAGGGACAATGAAACGGAACCATTGGTTTGGTTCTGGTTTGTCCTCCAAGCTGCCTTGAGGTTTTGGGTCGGGGACTTTATGGGTCTCTTTGAAGCCGCAGAGGTCAGAGAGAGTGCATTGGTTTTCGGGTGCGTAGGGGTCCGAGGATATGGTGTTCGGGCAGGGGAATGGGACAAGGCCGTTTGTGGCGTTTTGGTTGTTTTGAATGCCTTCCTCATTCCGCATACAAGGAACGTATCGGGCTCCCATGTTTATCTGGATGTAGGGCGATGGGCCGATCATGGGGTTGAATTGGGGCCTGATCATGATTGGGGACCCTGTCAATTGGCCTAAAGGAATCATGAGCAACTAGGCCATCCAGAAGGGGAGGAAAAAAAATGAAATAAAACAAAAAGCCTACCATTCCGCACCAGCTCCGCAATAAACACAACCACCTGCACCAAGGTAACAAAATACGTAACGAAGGGTATCTTCTTCCTAAACCACCTCCTCCCTTTCCCTTTCCCTTCCCATCCCCTCGAATGTCTCGCTGTCGGGTTCGGATTTAGTGGCACGCGTTGGCTCTCTGAGGAAGGGGGGTATTGCGTATCTGCATCTATCCACTCTGGCCGTCCGCCAGTCATCGCCTGCGCATTGGCTTTTAGAGGGATATCATCTGGGTAGTAATCAGTGCCATGCGGCCTTCCCGTCGTGCCCATGCCCCCACCGACAGCTCCACCACTTCCTCTTCCTCCTCCATAACTATGACTATCTGGGGAAGCGGGGTAGTCATGGTCTGGGCGGGGGTTATACTGACTGCCGTCGCGGTCATAAGGGCTTCCGTATGCGCCGTATGGCGAAGGGGTGCGAAGGGGAGGAGGGCTTTGGTTAGACCAGGCTGGTGGAGGAGACATTCTGTCGTCGGGGGGATATGGATTTAAGGGTTGGTTTTGTTGTTGTTGTTGGGGGTAACCTGAGTTGTAAGGGTTGTAGAATTCGTTTGCCGCCATGTTTTCGGGCTTTTTCCCCCCTGTCTCCGGGGAAGAGGAGGTAGATGACTGGTGGTGATGGAGCGCTATATGCAGTAGTATTCAGGAGATGAAGATGCAAGAACGAATGTGATAATAGATAGAAGGACGGGATAAATGGTATTGATGAACGACGTAGCAGAAAGCAAAGTACTCTCTGTAGTGATGGTTTTGAAGGAAGCAGCAGCAGCAGGTTTCAAAGCCGGAGCTGTCGTTCGGAGGATGGTCTGCTAGTGGCTGATCAACGAGGGAGACCAGGGCCGGCGATTGGTTGCTAGAAAGCACAGCCAGTCGAGCGCGGGTTTTCTTTTTGGTTGGTGTTGAACTTTGTTGGTTGTTGTCTGTTGTTGGTAACTAACTATTTAACACCGTTTCAGCCGCAGCCCAGGACACACACAACACCAACCAAGCAGCCAAGCCAATCACCAGTCTGAAACACCCCGCGTTCAACTACGTAGAAGACAAAACAGGTCGGAGGGCATGAGGAATAACTTCTTCAGCAAACGGGCAGATATTACTTAGGTTGTTCTCCAGGAACAGAGTTTTGGGTTCCAAAAGTTGAGATGATGATGCTTGCTTGGCATTTATAAGCAGCCGTTAGACCGCGCTTGGGGCGGTGCAGACTCAGCCACAGTACTATGGATGACGGGTTTCAGATTTCCTTCTTGTTCACCTCGCGATTCCAAACTCCGAGTTATTCAGGGCTTCAGACATACAGCGTACATGTTTCATAGTAAATGTGCAGTACAAATCAAGTTTTGCCAATCACTGCATACAAAATACGATCTCGAAATCGATGACGCACATACACATGCATCTGTCAAATCTGTCAATTCCTCCCTCCGCCTTCGGCGCACACAGAAGTATCCATATTCCGCGTCTGCTGTTTTCGATTAACATATTATAATTATCTAACGCCTAATACTTGCTCTGAATAACCTGGGCTGCCTGCCTGCCCTTACTTGCAGGAATCTAGGTCTGATGCGTTGGAAGAAAAAATCCCATAAAAACCATGCTGATATAATTGCCGCTAGGGTTACCCGCACTGGTCAAAATAATCCATCTTGAATGTATGTACAATGGGTTCTGCGATAGTCTCTTTCATCTCCAACAGGAACGCATTACTTATCGCGGTAGGCGGCGGGGATAAGAAGTTGGGTTTGCTCGCGCCATGACTGCTCCATCGAGACAGGCAAAATCCACTTGCGGGTCATTATTCAACCAACGTTTGAGTTATATGGATGTATCCTGATTCTCTTCAATCTAGAAAAACAAAACGCCGTCACAGAACTGGACGAAACCCAATTGCGCTTTTATTCTCTAAGAATGCAAAGACGACATGCGCGCATGAGTTTGGTGGTGACAAACGCGATGGCGGGCGAAACAAGGTTCAAAATATGCCAATCCTATATCAATCAAAGGATATAAAATCCTCTTGTCAGCAATACCTGCCTTTCGTTTAGGAATACATTATGCGTAGGCAAACTGCCTGAGTCATCATCATGGTCAAATACCTAGGAACGTACCAGAAGTCCAAGGAATGCGCTCGGGGCACCAAAAACCAGGAAATTAAAAGAGGGGAGGAGAGAAAAAGAATATGCCGTTAACAGCTGAGCAAAAGATAATTACGCTCAAGCATGCGGCAACGGTTGATTGGTAGCAGTTGGCGATATCGATATCGAGCCTCCAGAATTCCAAGGACCAGGACCAGGACCGGGGGCCGCACCCAAACCAGACCCAACGCCAGAGCCATTAACAAACTTCAGCTCTGCAGAAACCCTCTCCTTAACCCCGTCCATGCCGGCCCCGGTCAAAATCCAAGCCAGCCTGCTCAGCTTCTGATACAGCAGCGGGGGAAAGTATAAAAACAGCCCATAGACAAGCAGCGAGATAAACACGAGCAGGAAGGTATTCGCGACAAATTTCTCCCCGGGAGTCATGACATAGATGCCGTAGGTGACTTCATAGCGGTAGTAGGCGAGCTGGAGGCGGTTTGTGAGCCGTTTGAGGAGGCTGGGACTGTTGGGGTTGAGCGGGGCGGGGTTGTCTACGGGGGGTGCGTAGGGATAGGTGGAAGATATGGACATTGAGGATGAGGTTGAGGATAGTGGAGGGGATTGGGATATTATATGGGGTTTGATTAGGTGATTGAACTGGAGTGCGGAGGGGTTATGAGATGTATGAGATGTGGTGAATTGTTTGGGGAGAGGAGAGGAGGTGGAGGTGAACTGCTGGGTTTTGGTCGCCATGATGGGATCTGTTATGAGGGCGCAGATAGAGGAAGGAGAAGTCCGCACAGTTTGGTTGAGACGATCAAGTGCTTCTTTCTGTCTTATTCTGTTGTGTTGTTGCGGTGAGGTAAATACTTAGGTAGCTGCCACCGCCCGGCACACGGATACCGCGGAGTTGCGTCTCCTGACACACACAGAGAGAAAGTTAAAGATGCGAGGAAAACGCCGGAGACGAGAGAGAGAGAGCGCTGCCAAGATGAAGTTGTTTTTGTAACAATTGGTAGGTGAATTCAAGAACTCCTGGAAAGGTAAAAAAAAAAAAAAAACAAGAAGAAGAAGAAGAAGGGAGACTCTTTTATAAAAATGCTTATTATGTCCTATCTCAGCAGAAAAATAGTATACCAGTTTCAGCAACTTGGCAACCCCAGATAGACAAAGGAAGACAATTATAATAACCTACTGAGAGAAAAGAAAAAGATAGCAAAATGGAAGGATGCCCTAGGAAACTCGAATCATAAATCCGTAAATACTTTAAGCACCAATCCCTGAGGAGAAGAAGGGGTAAAAAGAAAGAAAAGATAGATAATCTGACAGAGGAAGAAAAGAAAAGAAAAAGAGGAAGAGGAAGAGGAACTAGGAACAAACGTGCCGAATCATCCAGAACAGTACTCCGTACCTCTCTATCCATCCTATCCCCATGATTCTTACGCTGTATGCTTTCCCATGCTTTCCCATGCTTTCCCATTATTATTCAGCTGTTGCAGCCACGGATACCACGGAATCCTGGCCAATCACTGCAAAAGCCGAAGATAAGGTTGACAATGATGGCAGGACGGGCAGGCGGGAACCGATCCTATGACGCCCCTCTCAAGCCTTCTCGGCAGGCGATTGGTAGAAATGGGGATAAAGAATGTGTTTTCCTCAGGCGCTTTTTCGAATCTTGGTAGCTCGACATAGGAGGTCCGAGGAGCCGCAGACGTGGCCCAATTGGACACGACACACAGGTGAAAAATAAAGAGGGGAAAAGAGACAAACAGCACAGACGGATCAAGCGGCAGAGAGTCTTGGTCATTTATTATTTATCAGCATAATATGATAACTAAATATAGGACTCCTCCCGGGTTCTTTTCCCGAATCTTTAACATGCTGGCGCAAAGGCTGAAGAGCAGAGATGGATGCAATGCATGGAACGTATTTTCGATTGCGCACCTAAGGCCCGTTCTGATTGGTCAGTGGGTGGCTTGGTGTGTTTTGTGGTGCTGGCTCCTGATTGGCTGTCAGTTTACCCAATTCCATACCACTTCTTTATAGATAGCTTTTTCTGATATTTCAAAGTTCAGTTTGTCAAAAAGATATTTATCCAATCCAACAACCGCCTTCCACCTCCCTCTAGGAGCCTCGGCCATCTTAACGGAAGAGTTAGGCGAGTATACACGCTGTATAGCCTTGTCGTAGGCTCAATTTAGAGTTAAGATAAGCTTCGGAAGACCCACAGCGCAAGCATACACTAGCCCAGACACAGAGGGTGCTTTTTTGATCCTTCCTTCACTGCAGACTCAAAGCAATGTGAAGAACGGAGGAAGGGGTAGATACAACCTAGTAGTACTGCGCGGGCCCTCTTAAGCGCCAAAGTCACGTGGCACAGTGCATTTTCCGAACTAGCTGGTCAACAGAGGAAGCCTACATCTATGATAGCACCATCATGGGGCCAGTGTCAGACGCGCAGAAGTTCAGTGCCCTGATGCTAGTACTGTTTGATCAGTATTGATGCTGCCAGCCTGACATGTTCTTCTTCTTTAACTTTATGCAAAATACAACAGCTTTTGAAAGTTGTCTATAAGAATGCAACAGATCAAAAAGTTGATTTTATAACATTATCAGCTCTTGAAAAGGTCATTCAGAACTTCACAAGAATTAACTCTTCAGATATCAGTGAATACCTCTGGCTCTCACCTGTTGATGACAGTTGAACTGATTGAGTGAATATAACAATTGATAACTTGATAAATGAAGTTAACATCTCAAGTGAGAAACAAGAGTAAGTTAAATCACACTATTTTGCTTAACTCTACTTATTCTCTTCATGTTTAGTAACTCTTTTACCAGATTTATTAACTCATTGTTTTTCATACTAGGTCAAGGCTTGATAGTTAATAATCACTGTTATGTTCTTGAACATTAACTCTTTCAACATTATTCAGATCACTGAACTTTTATAATCTGAGATCACTTGTTATCAGACTTGAAGAGTGAGAATTATCTTCTACAGAGTGAAATTCTAGAGATAACTTCTATTTTATATTATCAGATGAATGAAATGTGTTGAGACTTCTGAAAACATCAGTATATGCAGCTGAAGTTAACATATTAACAGAATCAATTAACAGTACAGCTTGCTTTCTCTTATTCTCTCTGTCTTCAGTGAACTTGTACAAAGTAATATCTCTTTTTAGTACTCTCTTTTTTACACTGTTATGTAAATACTGATATTCTGCTAGGCTACAATCATAATCTTTATAATTGAGACAATCTGTGACTCATCTGATTAAAATCTCACACTGATATATTACACTGAGAAGTTTCTATAATCTTAGCATGTTCTTCTATAACAAGTCTTCAGTTCATGAAATTGTGAAATGAATTCTTTATTCATCAGGGCTGACTCAGAGCGTTCTCTTAAGATATAAGAAAGTGTGATGTTTTCATCATTTTCATGTACAATGAGCTTATTTACTATGAGACTGAGGCATA